CATTCGTGGCTTTGGGGTGGACTTCCATCAGTACGCTGATGATACTCAGCTGTACATTTCCACCCCAGGCCACCCCAATGATGCCCTTGACGTGATGGCCCGATGCCTGGAGGCCGTAAGGGTCTGGATGGGGAGGAACAGACTCAGGCTCAACCCTTCCAAGACCGAGTGGCTGTGGCTGCCGGCGCCTCGGCATAGTAAGCTGACTCCGTCGCTGACTATAGGGGGCGAAATTTTGGCTCTCTCGGAGAGGGTACGCAATCTGGGGGTCCTCCTGGACTCACGGCTGACACTGGAAGACCAGTTGGCGGCCGTGACCAGGGGGGCGTTTTATCAGGTATGCCTGATCTACCAGTTGCGGCCTTTTCTGGACCGGGACGCCTTGCGCACAGTCACCCATGCCCTTGTCACCTCCCGCCTGGACTACTGCAATGCTCTCTACATGGGGCTCCCCTTGAGGAGCACTTGGAGGCTCCAGTTAGTCCAGAATGCGGCCGCGCGGGCGGTGTTGGGAGGGACTCGTCGCTCCCATGTAACACCGTTACTGCGCGAGCTGCACTGGCTGCCGGTGGCTTTCCGGGTGCGCTTCAAGGTGTTGATCATCACCTTCAAAGCGCTCCATGGCATCGGACCTGGATATCTCCGAGACCGCCTTCTGCCTCAGATTACCTCCCATCGGCCGGTACGCTCCCACAGAGTGGGTCTCCTCAGGGTGCCGTCAGCCAGACAGTGCCGGCTGGCGACCCCCAGGGGGAGGGCCTTCTCTGTGGGAGCTCCCACCCTCTGGAACGAACTACCCCCAGAGATCTGGGTGATCCCGGATCTCCCTTCCTTCCGCCGCGCCCTTAGGACATGGCTATTTCAACTAGCAGGACTGGCCTAAGGGGTAATTTTTAGCGGGGTTTTAAATATAATTTTAAAATAACAAAGGCCAATCTAATATTTCCTTTTAATTATGTTTTAATGATAGTATTTTGGTATTTTTTGTATTTGTTTTTTATCAGGCTGTTAGCCGCCCTGAGTCCGCAAGGAGAAGGGCGGGGTAAAAATCCAATAAATAAATAAATAAATAAATAAATAAATAAATAAATAAATAAATAAATAAATAAATAAATAAATAAATAAATAAATAAATAAATAAATAAATAGTGAATATAAACCTATAAAAGCTATACATTCTGCTAGTACCAGTTTTCTCATGTTCATCTTTCCAAAGATACAGTATACTCAACTTTAGCCATGAGTAGGAAACCTTTGCTAGAGAAACTGGGTCTAAAAAGCAAGCAGTAAAGCAAAAAGAGTCTCAAAAGGAGAAAGCAAAGGGGCTTCTAGTTCAGTTTCAATGACTGGGGCAGAAAAGACAAAAAGTTGGTGCAGAGAATAGGAGAGAAGGCAGCTGAGTGAATGAATGCTTGCATGTCTTTGCCAGGATGGGCTGGGCAGCTGAGGCTTCCTGGTGCATGGCAGGCAGCCCTAGAGCTGCACAATTCTAGAGATGCTTGCTAACCCATAAGAAAAGGTGTTGTGCAGTCAAAAGGGTAGAGATGGGGAAAAAATTGGTGGGTGGGGACAGTTGGAGGCAGTCCCTTACCTTACTGAGGCTAAGGGCTGGAAAGGACCAACCCTGGAATGACTTAGCTTAATGCAGTTGGCATGCCTAATGATATTATTCATTCCTAAGTAGTATTCTGGTCTCTAAGGAATGGATTCCAAACTTTAGAAATCTGAACAATGGCATTCTCCACAAATAATGTATAATATACAGTTATTGCTATTATTGTGTAATTAGTTCTGATTTATGTTGCAAATGTTGACATGATTGTACCAGAGAGATGGAAGGAATACAATTATGAGTACAAAGATCTTGTCAACCATCATATTGTTTGTGCAATTTTCTCATGCTCACAGATGGCTCTTTTTACTTATCAATTTATATTTGTTTTCATAAACTATTTATAATCATTAAGATAGAAGAGAAAGGACTAAATAGACAGACATAGAGCACCACTGCATCAATTATGACTTCCAAAAGTGATCTGTTGGTCTTCCATGTAAAAGGGTTATGTATACAAAACAGAATATAAACACAGGCTAAATCCAGATATTTTTTTCCCCATCCCTTCTATTATTGTATATCATCCCAAATCCTGAAGTCTCATCTGTTTATATTTATGTAGTATATTTCATCACAGATAAAAAAACTCCAGCCTTTTTCTCATTCATGTGTTTTCAAGTCTTTCAGAATATGGAGAATTGGCAATAAGCAGATTCCTGTGCAATTCCTCCCATATTGTAAATTTGTATATTATTCTATAATATTAATTTCTAGGGATAGAATTTTTTTCTAGATCAAGTTGAAAGAAAGCCTAAACTCAGAGATTAATCGCTCACAAAGAAAGGGAAGTGAAAATGGAGACGAACCCACCTTCATGAGCAATTACAGATCTTGAGGATGTTTGAAAACTAAGAATTCCTGCTACGTTGTCATTGGCCAAAATCACCACTGTGACAGTGGCTGAACTGAGTAAAATACGGCTACCACCTTCAGTGTGGGTCAAAGTAATCTGAATGCTTTCATCATCTTCGGGGTCAGAGTCGTCTAGAATAGTCAGAGTGACTGGCTTTTTTGTCTCACCTGATAAGAAAAATTAGAGCACTTTATGTTTTGTAGCAACCATTCCAATGTTTAGAAGAACCCTTATTTCTCTTAGATAAAAAAAGAAACTTTCTAGATAAAAGCATATAAACAAAGCAGTTTTAGCATATTTAAAACTGTTCCTTTATATTCCTTTTTACTTAATCATTGATGTTTCTTAAAATTCTCCCATGAATGTAGAAAAATATTCCTTTGCTAAAAAAAAATACTGTCTTGGAGAATTAGGATGTTAAGATATCCAAAATGTACAAAATCTTAGACAACAAATAAACCCTGTTCCCCATTATAGATGGACATGGAATCTTAAAATGTAGTATAGATTGTCCTCATTTAGCTACCACAATTGGGATTGAAAACTTGGTTGTTCAGCAAAGTTAAATACATCGACTGGGCTTATGATCTTCATCATAAATTCAAGGACTGGTTGTGAAGTTACTTTTTCCAACATTGTCGTAACTACAGACAGTTGTCAAATTAGGCAGTTGCTAAATGAGGACTACCTGTATTTCTTTCCTTGGTTATTGTAGCATGAACCAAATCAATGTCTTATTCTCTCTTCTACTGTGATGTTTTCATTTCTATTTTAAATTATATGAAAAAATCACATTGAGGTTCCCAAATATAAGAACATGTTGAATGAGATAACTGTTTTAATATCTGAAAATAAAATGCCAGTTTGACAAATTGGACTGGGATGGGGGTAAAATTGTAAACACTTTATTTATTTTAATAGGTATTTATTTAGGCTAGGCAGAGTTTTGAAGGGGACAAACCTGATCGAATTTCCAAGGTAGCATCAGAATGTAAATTTGGATCAAAATGTCAGAGAAAACCTGCTTCCTCGGTCCCTTCAGAAGAAAGCATTTAATCAATAGGACCAGAAGCATCCTGACACTGCCCAATCATAAAGGATGAGCAGAAATTGTGGAAGAAAGATAGGCCCTCAGATAACTAGGCTGTCAACTTTAAAAATGAACATGGCTGTAGTCATTTTTCAGTTGACACATAGAAAGGTGGGAGGGGGGATTGCCAGGTGCTTGGCTAGTCAAAATATTCTTTTGTCCCATGGGAACCTAGGTCATCAGCTGCTCCCGAGTCTGCAGGCTGGACGTTTCGTGAAAAGCCCACCAAGAAGATGTATTGGGGAACGTAGTTGCTTGCATAGCTTTAGAGGTGGGATTTCTTAACTTTGTATTGGGGAATTGTTATGTGTATCTTCAGACTTTGTTTCACTTTTGACGTGCCGATACTTTGTAACTAATAAACATGTTCTTTGAGGAATTTGCAAGCCTCAGAGTTCTGCTTTATTTGTCTCTGTCTGTCGGAACCTTGACATTGGCACTACAGTATGAACAAGTTTGTAGATAGTAACCCAAACCTTGAATTATACGCAGAAGGTTCTTGGTAACCAAACCAAGTCATGAAGCAGACTTGCTATGTTTTGCCTATAACTGTCTCTACCACTGCATTCTGGAGGAGCTGAAGATTCTGAGTTATCTTCTAAGGCAGCCTATGTAGAATGCACTGCTATAATCCAAAATGAGTGACCATTGTATGAATAGCGGTCCTAGGGCATCCCTATACAGATTATGATAATAATAATAATAATAATAATAATAATAATAATAATAATAATAATAATAATAATAATAATAATAATAATAATAATAATAATAATAATAAAGAAGTTGGAAGGGACCTTGGAGGTCATCGAGTCCAACCCCCTGCTCAGGCAGAAAACCCTATACCATTTTGGACAAATGGCTGTCCAGTCTCTTCTTAAAAACTTCCAGTGTTGGAGCATTCACCGCTTCTGGAGGCAGGTTGTTCCATTGGTTAATTGTTCTAACTGTCAGGAAGTTTCTCCTTAGTTCAAGGTTGCTTCTCTCCTTGATCAGTTTCCATTCGTTGCTTCTTGTCCTGCCTTCAGGCGCCTTGGAGAATAGCTTGACTCCCTCTTCTTTGTGGCAGACCCTGAGATATTGGAACACTGCTATCATGTCCCCCCTCGTCCTTCTCTTTGTTAAACTAGACATACCCAATTCCAGCAACAGTTCCTTATATGTTTTAGCCTCCTGTCCCCTAATCATCTTTGTTGCTCTTCTCTGTACTCTTTCTAGAATCTCAGCATCTTTTTTACATTGCAATGACCAAAACGGGATACAGTATTCCAAGTGTGGCCTTACCAAGGCATTGTAAAGTGGTATTAATACTTCACGTGATCTTGATTCTATCCCTCTGTTAATGCAGCCCAGCACTATGTTGGCTTTTTTGGCAGCTGCAGCACACTGCTGGCTCATATTTAAGTGATTGTCCACTAGGACTCCGAGATCCCTCTCACAGTTACAATTTTCTCATGAGATTAATTTGTGCAAATCTTTCTGACCACAAGGAAGATATGTGTCCTCAAGCAAGTGCAGTGAGTCCAAAGAGACATCCAAATTATATACCGGTTCCAAAGATGGAAGTACAACTCTGTACAAGAGTAAAGATAGGACCTGGTGGTCCTAATATCCAGTCTTGTCAGGGTTGAGCTTCAGAATGTTTCTTTTCATGCAGATACTGTAACTTCCAGATACTGAGACAAAACTTGAAAGCATCATCTGGATATCATTAGCATACAAATGATATCTGATTCCAATCCAGCAGTGACCTTACCCAATGGCCTTAGGTAGATGTTCAAAAGGAGGGGTGAGAGCATAGAGCCCAGAGGTCTCCCATGTGTCAAGACTCAACTTCTCCCCTCTTTCAACACTAACTGAAGCTGACTACAGAAAAAGGAGGGGAAATCTCTGCAGAACAATGGCATTAATTCTAATCCCCTTAGCAGTCCAGAAGGATACCATTGTTGCTAGCATCAAAACTAGTGAGAAGCCAAGAAGAACTAGGATGGTTACACAATACCCATCCCAGATTTGCCAAAAGTCCTCAGTAAGCATGATCAGTGCTATTCCCAAACTTATTACCTCCCAGTCTAAAACCTGATTAAAGGGAATCTATAGAATTCATTTGTTCCAGGGCCTGTTGAAACTGAAGACATTACCTTCTCCACAACATTTTCCCCAAAGGTAAGGGACTGGATAAAAATTGTTCATGACTCTAGGGTTCAATGCTGGTTTTTAAAGGAAAGGGTACATTGCCATCTCCTTCGAAGCAGGCAATACCACCCCATATCTCAACTATCCAAACATTTACTATAAGGACTCAAGTACACATCACTCCCTGGGTAGCAAGATTTTTGGTACCTAAATTGTTAATTGTAAACTGTCTCAAATGCATATCAAAATTACAAATCAACTTTTATTTAATACGACTGAACACTTATCGACAAGTCTACACACAGAGAGATATTTTTTATAAAGATAATTAAAATTTTAGTCATTTTGGAAAAGGTAGTATGAAATCCTTTTAAGACTCTGCATTTCAAGCGGCATAAAATACCCATATTTAATGAGTTTTAAATGCTGGAATTCAAGCCATAATTTATGGATGATAACCTTCAGTGAGATGTCATGTGTATTTTCTTACAATTTTCCTGTAAATCATTATAAAGCTTGATATATGGCAATGATTGCACAGGACAGTAGCATATTGAGTTTTTAGTTAGAGGATTCTTCCAAATTTCTTACCTTCTGCAAAAATCAGGACTTCTCCATCACCTATAAAATCCAGATTTGGGGTAGCTGTGCCACCACTAATGCTCCATTCCACCATCACCTGTCCCAGACTACCTTCTGTTCTATGTATCATCAACTGCACAGTATTCTGAGGCCATTCTTCTACTTCCACATAAAGACCATTCTCAGTTGTATGGGGACTGATGCTATAAATTACAAACACACCAAAAGCATCCCCATTCATTAGTATTACAACTGTAGAGGTGTTTGGTTGCCCTATGACTGGCTGATTTTCAATGCTGGCAGTGACATTTATCAGCATAATTTGTAACAAAGAAATGGCAAACTTCTCATCCAGTTCCGGAAAATCATCAGGTAATATGGAGACTGTGAGGTTTGCAAATTCTTCTCCTTCTTCCATGATCACCCACTGGCTGGTAACAGGCTCGTAGTCGTTATTAGCAATTGCTTGTGTACTGAAAATAGCAGTTAAGGTGGTAAGGTTTTTCTTGTATATCCAGAATCCTGAGTTGTTGGTTATTGAGCTACTCCAAGATGCCATCCAAAAACATGATGGAATTTCGGAAATACCAGAGAAATAAAAAGCTGAGCAGGCCTGCTCTTTCAAACAAAGAATAGCACAAGTGTACACAGAATCATTGGCTAGTGAAAGATTCACTCTGGTCACATGACTCTCATCTGGAATTCCTTGTATAGGTGCTTCATAATAGCATAATACATCCAGCCCTTGCTTTTGCGCAAGAGTTATGAAATCAATATCTGAAGTGCTGTAAAATATCTTCAGCTGACCAAATCTTCCGCCGCTACAAATTAAATAAATGACAAAATTAAGAACAGTTTTTGTGATATAGTTATCATAGTTAAATCTGAGGGGAACAGTTTTCGTGATATAGTTATCATAGTTAAATCTGAGGGGATGGGGGATGCAAAAAAATAAAAACAAAACATAGCTTTGAATTGTTATGTTTTAAATAGGATGCTTTACAGGATATTGTAACCTTACTTCACGCAGTGTTTCTCAACCTTGACAATTTTAGGGCATGTGGACTTCAACTCCCAGAATTCCACAGCCAGCAATACTGGCTGTGGAATTCTGGGAGTTGAAGTCCACATGCCTTAAAATTATCAAGGTTGAGAAACACTGCATGCTTAGGATAAAAAGCAGAAAGGGAAGCTAAGAAATAGGGATTAAAGGAAGGGTATTTTTCCTAGGTTTTACAATTTTATTTATTTATTTTTTGGGGGGAAATAATTAGATGTGGAGGCTTATATGTTCTAAGTTTATTCAGACTAGAAGTCCTTTTTATGATCTCATTCAAGACCATTCCCTGATGTCCTTACTTCTGAACTACATTCATTGGCGTCCTCTGATTAATTTGCTCTGTCTTCCCTGAAATGCTTCATTGGCAACATGTTTCCCCTACTTTAGAATACAGTCAGAGTTTCCAATATTCATATTTGGACACACATATGTAAAACAGCAAGTATCACAGAACACCACCCTTATTTATTTAATCTTTATGACACATAGAACCAGAAAATAAAAGTTATTATTTTGTAATGATACTGTTGATGTATTTCAGTTAGGTTTGCCTAATTACAACCTGTTGTCATAGTTCTACGCCAAATATCTGGACGCAAATAGCAATAGCACTTAGACTTATATTACACTTCACAAATAATTCATATATATATATTCATAAAGCATATATTCATATGCTAACAGATAATTTTGCATTCATTTTACATCTATGGGAGGTATATAAATATATATTAGATATGTTTTATATCTAAAAGATATCTAATATATTTTATTCTCTTAATGCCTACAAATCAGGAATATGCACACATACATACATTTAATTAAAGTTAATATATGATGAATGCTATTTGAAAAATAATATTACAATCAGTAGGAATTACTGCTTTTGAGGAAACATTCATTAGATAAGCTGCAGAATTCTCTTCCTTGCAGCAAAATCTGTACATGCCTCAAGCAATTTTGGAACTGATCAAGAAAAAATACTTTAGAATCTCTTCCCACAGTTTGGGTTTTTGAGTTTGTGTTGGTTTACTCAAAATTGTCTCATTCTTATCTACATAGAGTTTTCTACATTAAGCTGTAAATTGTAATATATTGCCATAAATAATGTGTTACAGAGAAGCAAAGTAATTATTAGCCATAAGCTAGTAAGGTATTAGGGTATTAAACAGACCTCCTTTTTACTGTTATGTTTGCGGTTGAACTTCTCTCCAATGGCTCTTGAATATGATACATGTTTTCTTGAAAGGATACTGTTCCATATGGGTTATCATTGGCAGGAATTACAATATTTGCCACTCTATCTAGTCCAATAGTACCTCCATTGGAAGCCTGAATTAATTCCACTCTGATAATCTACAAAGTATTTTGGACAAACAATTAGTATGGTGCAGAAAAATATCATTAGCTCCATGGTTTGATTCCAAAATTAAACATGGCCACAAAATACCTAAACAAAACATAAGTTCTTATTGAGATTCAAGGTATTAGCAATTTAAAATGTAAAATTTTCTCAAGCCTATGATCAAGAAAGTTCTAGTGGTACACAAGGAAACAATTTTCACCCCTGCAGCAGCTCAGTATAGTTTTTGAAATTTTTTTCTAGAAGGTAAGAGACCTATAGATCAACATTCGAGAACTGAGAATTCAGCAATTATCTTATCCTATAGCAAAAAGTTTTCTCGGATTTCTGCTCTCCCCACAATCAATGGATATTTCCATTTTCTGTAGCATTATTAACATTATTATTACTATCATCACCAATGTTCCATAGTATTGCATTTTCACAAGTCCAATATTTGTACCTAAGATTTTTACAAACAAGACTTTTACACACACACATACACACACACACACACAATTCTTCTTTTCACATTTTGTCTTATTTCTTAGCTTACCTCTTCAATTTCTGGAACATCATCATTCAGAATCTCTAATGTCAAGTTCTTCATGGTTTCCCCAGGGGAAAATTGAATATTGCCTAAGAAGACTTTCAAATCACTGGCAGCAAATTGCCCATCAATGGTAGCAATCCATTCAATAGTCACATTGCCAAGTGTTCCAGCATTGCGAATAACTGGCAGATCTATCAACACTCTATTGGCTTCAGGTTCTTTGACAACTATATTAGTGGTCTGGAAAACTAATAATATGAAATTTTAATTTTTTCACTGTAGTTTATTGTTTCTGTTCATTACATACTTTTAATACATATCTTAATTAGAAATTTAATTTTTATAATCAAATGCAAATAATCAGTGGATTTTTTAAGTTACTGCATATTATAATTTTGAGTAGGTCTTCCTAAATTAACAATCAAAGCTTGTATTGTCCACTCCAACAGCATTAGAGCAAAAGTGGGGGAATCAATGGAAACCCAGCACCAGAAATGCAGCACCTGCATTTTTGCTGCCCAAGTAGCCTCATCCTCATTCAAGCAAGAGGCAGCAGAGTCCACAGAACAGAACATTATGACTTTAAGGTAGAGACAGTACTGATAAATCTTCTACAAATGTCTTTGTTTAATAATCTCTCTTTAATGGAAACTTGAAGAATAGGAAAATGAAAATGTTCATAAAATGTTTCTAATCCAACTCTTAAATATTGCAAAATTTCCCTGCTGGCCCAGAATGCTAGCTAGCTCAATCTTTCTCCAACTGTTGGTTAACAAAAGTGAATAATGGTCTATGCCCTTAATATCACTGTATTTAAATATTTATATTCTTATTTGATTACTAATTGCTTGAGGGGAATAGGAAGAATATAAACCTTTTAGCTTCACCAGAACCCTGTGAAGTAGACTAAAAAGTAGGTTAAAAACAGGGTCTGCTCCTCCCCTCTCTCTTTTGATTTGTATTCATCTTGCTTTTGTAAAATCTTCTATAATACCACAAAAGGATAGCCTGATTTTACAGAGTGTACAAGAGACATAGGCAGCCTTAAGATTTAGGAAAGGGAGGCAGAGAGGGGGCGCAGAGAGAAGGACTAAAGTCTTCTTTCTGGGGGTCACCGTACTTCTCATGAGAGAAAAAAAGATTACATGGGTTGTAATCTTTAGTTTAAGTCTTAAATTTTAAATTGTAAAGTCCAGTGTGAGAGTACTGACAATAATCTACAATACTTAATCACGGTTTCTGAGGAAGTATTTTCAAAAAAGGAAGAAGTGGCCAGTTGTAAGATAAAATATTTTGAAAAGAAATATTGTTGAGATGAAAGGTAGATTTAAACATTAATTAAATTTATTGTGATATTCTTGAATTCATAGATGGTTTTATTAATAATTTATTAATATTTAAATGCCACCTTACCAAAAGAACCAAATGGATCATCCGAAGCCTCAACAGTTATAACTGCCTGAGTTAGACTCCCGAGTAGTGCTCCGCCTGTTGTCTGATTGAGCAGCTGCACAAGGAAGGACTCCTCTGTTTCAGGGTTAATATCATTAATTATATAAATTGGCACAGCTTTGCTGGTCTCTCCTTCTAGTAAGACAACATCTGAGGAAGCTATACTGTAGTCTTCACCTGTGTATAACAAAGATGCCTATTCAAAAACATGATGATACTATTTCTTTATATTATTTGAAATTCAGGTCTGATGAGCAGAATCTACGAGGAAGGTTGGAGAAGGTAATACAAAATATGCTTGCAATAATGCATTCATGTTTTTAGTCATTCTATATTTCATATTGCTACAACACAAACCTTCTTTGAAGAAATAATGTTAGGGCACATGGTCTACTGAAAACAGGTATCCAAAATAGAGTGTATATAGATAATTGATATTGTCTGCTCTGAATTTTTTTTCCAAAAACTGGCATGCCTTGTCATCAAATTAATTTGTTTTACCATGAGAACAATATATCTGGAAAACCTGGAAGATGATCTTAGGTTAATTAACACAATAGGTTACAAGCAAATTTAAATTAAAACATATGACAGAATGATCATGTAAACCTGAATTCAGCAAAAGACCATGTATGCCATGCTGTATGTTTTTCTTTTTATTCTATGCTGAAACATTTTTTATATCTTACATTATAAAGCCATATTAGCAGATATCAGAATGAAGCAGGAAGGTAAACATTTCAGTCACCTGGCACAAGAGGCTACACTGGATTATAATATCCTTCCTGCCTTATCTACACATTGAGATGGATGGCATCAAGAAGGAAGACTATGTATTTAACGTGCGCTCGCCATTTCAGATCTTTTGCCTCAATCTATGGATGTAGTTAGCAAAAATGAGTGGTGGGAACAGACCAATGAATACAACTCCATTTTATTATTGATATGGTTTGAATTGGACGGGCAACAAATAACAAAGAAACATTTGAATTTGCTTAAGGATTCTATGACATGCAGGCTTATTCCATATAAGGCTTTCTGATACTATTCTTGCCATTTGCTTATAGCTGTTGTACATTTTTGCCATTGCATTGTAATCCATCTCTTACCAGCAGTTGCTGTAATTGGCACTGCTCTAAATTTCACCGAAACATCTGCAAAGATTCCTCCAGTCCTTGTGACATTGATTATTGGTCCAATATAATTTTCAGGTACTTGGACAGCTGGTGCAGAGAGCTGTAATGTTCCAAAAGCATCATCATTGGCATTGATAATTATATGAGCAATTGTATTAGTGGTAGATCCAAGGCGAGGAGAATCTGAAACTAAAATAGAGAAGAATTTGAAGGATTTCCAATTTAACAATATACTAGAATTTCATACATAAAATAACCACCTTATATCTACTGTTGTGGAAAAGTAAGCAATGATTTTCTAAGGACATTTGTTCTGATTTGCAGTAATTATAGCAATGTTATTTGCATAGTCCAAATAACCACTAATGTACAATATACAGAGAGAGGAAGATAAATGTGGAATATTTATGGCTTATTTCCATTGGATTATTACCACATCATTTCTAAAAATACCAGCATGGATCTTGTCACTTCATGGCTAATAGAAAGAATTTCATTTCTTTATCAATGTGGTATCTATGTTATGGAAATGTGAGGATATGCACATCACAGTCTACCTGCTCTGCTATAACTTCAGTTATTACTTTCCTCTATTATTCAGTTGTTTCTACTAGTCAGCTTTAGTTTTACAGTAAAGTGAATCTCTGACATTAATCAGCAGCAGATTCTACAATTGGATTTGCCATGGTTAAAAAAAAAAAACCCAAGACACAGAATAGTCATGGTTGTGTGTGAACATGTGTAAATGAGGAAGTTAATCTTGATTCTTGGTGACTACATAGACAAGTCCATCCATTTTTGTTGGCAACTTTTTCAGAATTATTGCCTTCTTTCTAGAGCTGAGAAAGAGTGGCTCAAAGTCAACCAGCTGGCTTCTGTGCCTAAGACAGGACTAGAAAACAGATCATTCCTAGCTCAGTACCTTAACCAAAGTGGTTTTAGTCACGTATAATGTTGCTAAATATAATTCTGTAAAGAAAATATAATTTGAGTTATGCTTTAAATATTACTGAACAAAAGACAGAGTTAGCCTTACTTGGCTGATGACTGACTTCTCCTATCAAAGTAGCACCAAGAAGCTCAACAAATACAGATTCAGATTGCTCTGGTTCATCATCATCCAGAATAGGGAGGTGTAGTGTAGCTTCACTTTCGTTGGCTGGAAGGATTACAAATCCTGAAATGGGCAGATAATCTTCCCCCAATGTTGCCCTTGCAATATTTGATGGCAGATAGAGTGAGTCATCTTCATCATACATGGTTCTATATGTAACCTTGACCACTCCTAACTGACCTTTCAACCTTACTATTGTTAGGGTGACATTCTTGGTTGCTTCCTCAACTTTAATTGGCCTATTTTTTTCAGAGAAAATCAAAAGTCCGTATGGGTCATCATTTGCAAGAATAGTCAATGTAGCATTTGTGTGAACATCAAGCCGCCCATGTGTAACATTAATGATATAAACTGAAAATGTCTTGTCTAGTTCTGGAATTTCATCAGGCAAAATATGTACAGTTAAATTTGCTTTTCTTTGCTCCACGTGGAATGTTATGTTGCCACTTGTGGCAGTCACATCTTCAGTATCATTTGGCACTATGAACCAATATAATGTCACCTGAGACAATGCACCATGATGTCTAATAACCTGAAAAGCAAAGCAATATTTCATCACTATTGTATCATGTAAGACAAATAACTAAATCACTTAGCTAGACAAAGATTCCTACGCCACTTTACATATTACACAGATGCATGTTTGCAATTTTAATCAGCAAAATAAATTTGAGACAAGATTCCTAGGCAGTTTTTATAACCTTTCTGCCATACATTCATAATTCCCTGTCTCGTGACCTTTGTATATAATTATCCTGTCAATCTTGCATCTTGACACTGAACTGGAGTATCACTAATATGTATGCTACTGGAGTATCACTAACATGAATGCTATAAGTGAATAAAAAATAAGGTATTCCAATATCCTGTCATAAAACTTAAGTATCCCTGCCTATTAGAAGGGTGAAAATAGAGATTATGACAACTAGTTTTCAGCAAAAGAAATCCTATTTTTGAAAAAAGAATATAACCATGGAGGATTTCTATAACAAGTAAAGTATGCAAATGCAAGAGTAGTATTTGGGACTGTAGACCTCAAATGTGATGGTTCCTCTTCCATCTTCAGGCTCCACTCCACTTTGAGAGAGGGATTCAGCACTGAACTCAAAGACCCCATGCGCATCGTCAGAGGCTTCAATAGTCACTATGATATGAGATGCTATTCCCAGATTGCCTGCTGATATGAAGGATAAAAATATATATTATACATCAATTCTAACAAATTAATTGGATCACATCTTCACTTATAATACCCAAAGTTTAGTATCCAGTATCAAAATAAATGTAACTGAGCTGAAACAGATGTTATTTAATATATCTCAAAAGGTTTGAGTTGCAACCCTAAACACACAGGCAGGTATAGATAAACATTATTTAGAAAAAGTAGTTTTTCTGACACTGCCTCCCTACAGCATTCATCTAACATTGAAAATCCTCTTCCATAGATTAGACGATATTAAATGGAATAAATTCCATTATTGGAATATACCTCCAACTGGAGGTATTTCAAAGGAGTCCTCTTTTTTCAACTCAATATTATTGTTTAACTTATCCAAGCAAGCTTCCCTGCCTTTTCTGGGTCTGGAGAAGAATTGGGAAACAGAGGAGTCTTTAAAACCATTTTGTATGTAAATCATCCTGACAGAAATGTGGGAGGCTGGCATGGGAGCTTTCTTACCATGCCAGGGGCAAAGGGGATCTGAAAAGTGCCTTCGAACACAGAGACCTTTCTTTATGTCCCCAGAAAAGAAATCTGGTAATATACTTAGAAAATAAACAGCTGACTTTGAATAAGAAGGGGGAAAGGCTAAGTTCTTATTAAGGTATGATTGTACATTATTGTATAGTTTCTTTTAAAGTAGTGTTTAACATGTGCCGATTTCAACTCTCAGCATTCTGCAGCCAGAATGCTGGGAGTTGAAATCAACACATCATAAAGTTGACAAATTTGAAAAAAAAAAACGGTTTTAAAACAGTGAACCATAGCTCTGAGAAAGGGGGAAAGTCCAGAAATCACTGCTTACCATATTGATGGACAGGAGGAAGGAAGTAGAAATCACCATCACCACTACCACTGCCACCATTAAGGAATTCAGAAACTTTAAAAAGACAAAGATACACAATACATATACATATATAAAATGCAGATGATAGATAGCATTTCAAAGTATTTGGGACAAATGTAAACAAAGAAGATAAACTTGAAAAAATTAAAAGAATTTTGAAACCTTAAGTTACTAAAAGCCAAAGGTGATATTTTGTTTGTTAGCTACCTGTATCAACTATCTTTAACTAAGAATGATAGATACTTGATAAGTAAAAAAGCAAAGAAAGTGGAAAAGGCAGATCAAAATTCTCTGAATTGGTATGTTATGAAAATAATACTAAAACAAATAAGGAAATTTATTTACTAATAGAATAGACTACCTCAAATTGAGCTTAACTCCATGCAGTTTTCTTCACAACAAGGCAAAAGCACTTTTACATTGCCCTCAATATTCTTATTATTTTTTACAGTCTAGTCTATATAGCCCAAGAATTTCTGGGGGTGCCTTGGCTGACTTTTTAACGAGATTCGATTTTTTTTTTAAAGATCAGCCAGAAGTACATGCAGCAAAAGAAGGGCCTGTGCAAAAATACTTCCATGGCATTAGAAGTAATCAACGACAGGAACTGGCTTCAGTTCTGGAGTTACCATAAAGCTACTGAATACTTATTATTTTAAGTTTTGAAGAAGCTTCAGATATTCATGTGTCAAATAAAGTGATGGTTATAACAGAGACCCCACTATCGTGGTACCTGACAACATACACTGTATAGTATCTATTTTACATGGAGTATTTTGTTTAACAAGAAATGCAGCTAATATCTTCAACAGAAAATTAAAAATCTAATGCTTTTTAAAAAGAAAATTCAAGTTATTTATGAGAGTTTCACCAGAATAAATTAAATGTAACTAAATTTCAGTCCCCAAAGAGACAGAATATATTATTATTATTATT